ATATATATATATATATATATATATATATATATATATATATATATATATATATATATATACATGTATTTATATTTATTTTTATTTATTTATTTGTCTTTATTTATGTTTTTATTATTTTTATTATAAAACAAAAATATAAGCAAATCGACAACGTTTGCTCAACAAAACAAACAAAAACAAAAAAAAACAAAAACAAAAACAAAAACAGAAATGAAACAAAAACAAACAAAAACAAAAAAACAAAAATAAAAAAGCAAAAATAAAATGATGATGAGCACAGGATTTGTTTGTCTTCTTCTTTTTATTTCGCAGCAATTAATGCATTTGTAGGTGCCCTGCTGTTTTAACCTGCTGCTGCTGCTGCTGCTGCTGCTGCTGCTGCTGCAGCAACTGCAGCAGCAGCAGCAGCAGCAGCAGCAGCTACTCTAGGCCACGCGAAGGGGTGATCGTCTGCTGTAGAGTGCTGCAGCAGCGTCCTGCATGCAGCAGCAGCAGCCAGCGCTGCTTCGTGCTGCAGTAGCTGCTGCTGCTGCTGCTGCTGACACTGCTGCAGCAGCAGCAGCAGCAGCAGCTGCTGCTGCTGCTGCTGCTGCAGCCGGTGGCTTCTTTACTTTGTTGGTTTGTTTATAGAACAGTGCGCTGATTTATATAAAAATATATAAATACAATATATACATATAAACATATAGTGTATTTATTATGTATATAGCTAGCTAGCTAGCCAGCTAGCTAGCTAGCTAGCTAGCTAGCTAGCTACTCAGCAACCGTACTCAAGAGCTAGCTAGCTACAGCAGGCCGCTGCCGCTGCATCTGTATCCCTGTGTTTCGGAGTCGTAACCATAGCAGACTATGCTGCTACCTGGCTAGCCATCTAGCTAGCTAGCCATCTAGCTAGCTAGCCACCTAGCTAGCTAGCCACCTAGCTAGCTAGCCACCTAGCTAGCTAGCTGCGTACCAAGCTATGTATCTAGCTAGACATCTACCTAGGTATATGTAGCTGGCTATGTATCTAGCTAGGTATCCAACTACGTATCCAGCTAGCTAGCCAGCTACCCAGCTAGCTATCCAGCTAGCTAGCTAGCCAGCTAGCTAGCTAGCTAGCTAGCCAACACGTCGGTATGCGTGTGTAAATTGGTGCAATTGGTGTTTGTATTTTTGCTGAGGAAATCCGAGCGGCCGCCCGGACTCGCAGAAGACAAATATGCAGGTCCTCTGCTGCAGGTACACCCCGAAGCGGGATCACTGCTGCTGCTGCTGCTGCTGCTGCTGCTGATGCTGATGCTGCGCGGAGTGCTGCCTGCATGCAATCGAGCTGCTCGGGAACGCTCGCTACAGCCTGTCCCCGCAGCCGTCTAGCTGTGCAGTGCCGCAGCTAGCTACCAGCTAGCCAAAGACAAGACATACGCGACCCCAAGCTGCAGCAGCAGCAGCAGCAGCAGCAGCTGCTGCTGCTGCTGCTGCTGTTGCTGCTGCAGCTGCAGCTA